GCCGGTGCTGGCCGCCGCCGCCGCGCCGGCCGCCTTGACCTTGCCTGGAGTGCTGGGGGCCGACTTGCCGCCCGCGGTGGCGGTTTTGGGTGACCTGCCGCCGCTGCTCGCCGCCGGCGCGCCGTTGCCAGCGGCGCCGCCGCCGCCGCGGCCGCCGCCGCCCTTGCCGCCGCCCGCGGGCGCCGCCGCCGGCTGCTGCACCTCCCTCAGCGACGCCTCCTCCGCCAGCCTGCAGCCAGGCACACGCACAGGCGGGGGTGGCAGCGAGTGGAAGCGAGCCGCGGCGCATGAGCCTCCGCCATCGCCAGGCGCACAACACACACACACACACACAGAGGCAGAGGCAGAGGCAGAAACGGTTGCAAAGCTGTTGCATGCGGTCCTGCTAGCTGACACACACACACACACACACTCCCTCACCTCATCATCTCCGCCTCCTTGTGCACACGCTCCGCCTCCAGCTCCTCCCGCCGCCGCTCCAGCGCCGCCTCATATTCCAGCTCAGCCCTGGGAGGCCAGGTGAGCGGGGAGTGGGCGGGGAGTGAGCGGGGAGTGAGCGGCGAGTGAGCAGGGCGACAGGCACAGGTGCGAATGAGAAGGGCAGGGCAGGCCGCTAGTGGGCAGGGCGGGCAGGCGGGGTGGGCAGCAAGCTGGAGGCAAGAAGAGGGCCGGGCAGGCGGCTTCACCTCAGCTCCGGCGCCAGCTGGTCCAGGCTGCTGAGCAGCTGCTGGGCAGCTGCCGCCATGGCCGCCGGGTCGGCGCCGCTCTCCGCCGCGCTGCTACTGCCGCTGCCGCTGCCGGGCTTGGGGCGCGGTCCGCCCGGCCGCGCCGCCGCCGCCCCGCCCTCCTGCCCCTCCTCCGCCTCCTCCTCCTCCTCTGTGGCCCGACCCCCTTTCTTCTTCTTCTTCTTCCCCTTCTTGCCCTCCGCGGCCTGCACGCACAGTGGAACCTTGCAGTACAGGTCGGCAGGAGAGGCGGTACTGCCCTGCCGCCAGCTGCATCGCCCAAGCCGCGGGTGATGCCCCTGTGTGTGTGTGCCCCCCTCCCACACCCCCGCCAACCTACCACCGCCACCGCCACCGATCACACCCACAGCCACAGCGGCCCCGATGATCGTCCCGCCCACCTTCTTGGCAGCTTCCTCCAGCTCCAGCTCCCGCAGCAGGTCCAGCGTGGCCGCCTCCCGCGCCGCCACCGCCGCATCCTCCAGCTGCATCGCGGGCAGGCGGCGGGGGCGGGGCCGCGTCAGGCGGCAGGCGCGGCAGCTTCCTGGCAGCTTCCTTGCACGCACCCAAGGCAGCCCCACACCAACGGGGCAGCCCTCCCTGCAGCTCGAACAAGGCACAGGCGCAGGGGGAGAGCGGCGGCGGCGGCGGGCCCCCAGGCGGGCTGCTCGCCTGCGTGCGGATGACATCCAGCGCGGCCTGCTCCACTATGCCGCTGGCATCGCAGCACGCCAGGTCCACAGCCCTGCGGGGTGGAAAGTAGAGGGGGAGCAGGAGGGAAGGGGCGGGCGGGGGAGGAGAAGGGTCGGGAGCGTCGGGTGGGGCCCGACTCATTGCCCTTGGAGGAGCAGCCGTTGTGAAGGGAAGGCAGGCCGGTGGCCCCCGCAAAAGGCCCCTGCAAATCGCTGCCCTCCTGCTCGCCGGCACAGCACATCACAGCATGGCACAGCACCTCGTCGCCTGACCCAGCACCGCACCGCACCGCACCACACAGCACAGCGCAGCGCAGCGCAGCGACCCCCACCTGCGCCGCAGCCTGTCCAGGTCAGCACACCAGTTGCTGGCCTGCTGCTCCAGCTCGTCGCACACGCCCTGGGCCAGGCCTGCAGGCAGGCGGTCAGGGGCGGCGCGGGTGGCGGCGCGGCGCGGCGGCAGGACCGGTCAGCCGGGAGGCCATATAGCGTGCTGGGCGGCAGGGAGGAGGCTGGCACGCCCCTGGGGGTCAGGCCCCCTCCCACATCATCCGGTTGGCCAGCATAGCACAGCACAGCACGGCACAACACAGCGCAGCGCAGCGCAGCACAGCACAGCCAGCGGGGCGCCCCGCCCGCACCCGTGCAGCGGATGTGGCGCGCCGCCGCCTTGCTCTGCGCGTCGGGCGCGTAGCGGTCGTGCAGAAGGCGGATGGCGTCCGCCACGCACGTCACCACCTGCCACACCGCCCTGCAGCGGCGTGGGGAGCGAGGCCGGCAGCGGAGGCGGCATTCAGGCCTGGGGGCAGGCCGGGGGCTGGCTGGCTGGCTGGCTGGCTGGCTGGCTGGCAGGCAGGCAGGCAGGCGAGGGCCAAGACAGGCGCCCATCCCCACACCACACCACGCCCCACACCACACCACACCACACCACACCACACCACACACCACCCCACCACACACCTGATGCGCTGGTCCACATGCACCTCCGTCAGCTGCTGGTCGCGGTCCCGCTCCTGGGCAGTCAACACGTCGTGGCAGGCGGCGTCCAGCTGCGAGCGCCGCTCCAAAAAGGCGGCCAGCTCGGAGCGCCCCTGCGGGCCGGTCGGCGGCGGCAGCGGCAGGGCCGGTTGCAGGCACGGCATGGGAGGCAGCCGCGGGGCGGCC